ACAGAGATTTTTTTTTTTTTTTTTTTTTTTTTAAGGTGGGGGTCCGTGTTTGCACGGGGGAGGGCAGGAATGTCTTTTCTTTGCCCCAAAGGGCTTTCTTTAGTGCCTCCGGCGCCGCAGGGGGCCTCGGTCAATAACATTCCTGGGCGGCCCCGCGCGGAAGGAGCGCGGCTCAATGAAATTCCTCGCGCCTCGCCCCGYGAGCGGCCCCAGCACAAAAGTCCGGGTCCGAGGCGGAACAAAAGGATGGGGAAGAAAGTGCAGGTCGCCATGGCAACGCTGCCCGGGCCGGCTGTTTTTATATCAGCAAGGGGCCGGGGTTTGCTGCCCGAGTTGCAGGAATCCGAGGCGATTTATTTCTGTCGCGAGACGGCAGAAATTTCTGTCCCACCTTGCCGGGGCAGGTGGGGACCCGCTGCAGCATCCCCAAGGGATGCGGGAGCCACCAGGGTGGCATTCCCAGAGGGACCTGTCACCTCCCTGCACGGCCACTGGGTTCTGCCCTCTCCACTGGTGACGCTGGACCCGCCACCCTCTTCTCCTTGCGGCCAACAGGCTGGAAAAGCCTCCCGTTTTGGTGGCTTGAGATAAAGGATTTCATGGTTTAATTAGGATTGGGTTTGTTTAATTCTCCTGCAGGTTGATGAGCCCAGTTCTAGCTATCCAGGGAGCACCTCAGTGGCTTCTGCCAGGCACGGAGGGTCTGAGATACCATGGCTGGTATCTCAGACCGGACACCGGAGRGGTGCCCAAGGGCCAGTAAAACAGGGAGCACCAGCTGCCTATCAGTGACACACATCCCAGTCCCTGATCCTTAGCTAGGGGCTCAAGGGGGTCTCAGAGGGTGTATCCCACACATTGAAGGGACAGAGCTCAGGCTGAAGAGCTCCAGACCTACCTGGATTGATGTTTGCAGGGGCATCTGCCAGGTACTAGGGCTGGGGACATAAGAAGTGACATACAAGGGACTCAGATGCAGTAAAGACAGCATGGCCCATCAAGCTGAGACACCTTGCAAAGCATGGAATTACAAAGAGAAAAACACTGGGCAGTCAGTCTAGTGGGCAGCAAAGCTGTGCTTGATACAGCCCAGGGGCTATTTAGCACCACAGCCTGGGGATGACAGCCGTGCTGCCTGTACGGGACAGGCAAAGGATGGAGAAAGAGCACAAAAACCRAACGGGGTAGCTACACAAGAGAAGAATTTTTCACCAAATTGAAGCCAGGGTGAACAGGTACTTACAGAGTCCAAGCAGAGTCATGCGTCAAGCTGCAGGTTGGGGAACGGGGTTGTTAGAACCTGTCGTGGAAGGAAAAAAAACAATAAAACACATTAAAGACAGTCTATGTGACATCCTTTATCTTTTTGTAGCAGGGGATTTACAGATGGTTAATAGCATGCAAAGCTTTAGAAGAAATCTTGTGGAAAAAAGGGGTTAAACAGGTAGAAGAAAGCCAGCTAAACTAGAGAGCCATGTCCAAAGCACAAGCTGCTCTTCTCAAACACATTCTTTTATCTAGACAAATTTCTAGATGAATTCAGTAAGCTGCATTCTAGGGAACAGCAAGGGAATTTATTAAAATGAAGATGAGGGGATTAGTGGAAAACATAGAAAATGGGTGCAAAGATGCCTCTGGAAGGAGCCGGCTGGAGCTGACAACTACCATTTCCCTGGAATCAGTGTTGGGATGGATCTTGTTTATTCTCTTCATAAATTATGTTGTCATAAGACGTGCAAGCGCTCAGATTGAGCGACTTGGTGACGCAGAAGAGGGAGGCGACGGGAATGCAGAGGAGAAAGGGACATCAAACAGAAGGCAGCCGATGACCTTGGGCGCGCAGAGGTAGCAATGAGCTGAAATTCAATAGCACTCAATGCAAGACTAATCACAAGGGTTTCTGCAACAAACAGGAAGCCCATCAATTGGATATGACTGAGCAGGAGGTGAGCTTGGAGGTATTAGTTGATTCCAGGATKATTAGAAGCCAATGAGCACAAAAAAAAAATAAGTTGCACAATAAAAAAAAGCAGCAAGTGAGGCCTTAGTGCCCTGGGGCACTTCCAATTGAGGCAGAAAAATCCTTAATGGCCGTGTACAAAGGACTGCCAAGCCCTCCTCTGCAACAGGGTGCACAGCCCTGGTCAGAAAGGGTGAGTTTATACTAGAAGCAATGCAGAAAAAAAAAATCTCCCAGGATGATCAAGAGAAGGGAGATCCTGTTTCAGGAGCAGCCTAGCAAAACAAAGGCTGAAAGGAGACACCTTCTCTCCYCGGCTCATCGGGGAGGTGGCCAGAACATGCTGCAGGAGGACAGGCTAAAGTAACAGGTGATGTTGGCACGGGAAGATGAGACAGGAGCGGAGCAGAAAAATCTCAGGTAGTAATTAGAAGGCAGCTGCTGATCAAGGAGGCCAAGGGGCTCAGGAATTGCTCCACTTGAACRCAGAGGAGGTAAAGAGCTAATGGAGAGTTAGGAAGGACCTTAYGTGCTGCAGCTGCCTGGAGCACCTCAAAAAGGGTCCCAGTGGCCCCAGAGACCCTGTTCKACATCTCTGGCCCATAAGGAGGGCACCTGGGTGCCCATCTCCCTCACCAAGGGGCTGCTTCTGCAGAGCCCCTGCTTGCGCCCAGCTCCTTCCCCCTCTCCCTGCCCTGTCTGCAAACCCATCCTCGCTTCAACTCCAAAGGGGCAGAAAGAAAAGGAAAGCAGGGAGGCTGGTCCTTTGTACGGCAAAGCAGCTTAGGGGCCTCGCTGGGATTCGGGTCGTGCTCAGTGAAGGGAAGGAGCTGCAGAAAGGGAGAGGGCGGGCGCTGCTCTCGGCCACGGCCGGGCAATTCAGGCCCGCCTTGGGTCCGCTCCTCCAACTCTTTTCTGTGTTTTTCCCCCCCTGCCACCTTCCCCGGCTTGACACCCCAGATCAGCATGAATTTCATGAATTAAACCCGCTGGAGGAATTGAAATGTGCYGCCCCCCTCCCCGCGTCGGCCGCCGAATCAGGAAAGCGTTTGCCCAAACAAAAGCCAAATCCCCCTCCTAGGGGCAAGGAGGAAAAGGCTTCGCTGCAGTGGTCTCTAGGCCGCTGACAAAAGGCTCCCTGGACTATAGACAAGAAGGTTAATGCTGCCTTGGATTAGAGGAACAGCTGTGGACTGAAGGGATCAGCTGCCACCTGTGTAATGAAAGCTCCACGGCCCCGTCCCGGGAGGCTGCCAGGCGCTTTGTGTTACCTGCCCCTACGAGCTCCGTGGCTGCCCCACGTCCAAAGAGGAGCCAATGTTCGTCTGGATCCTCCTGCTGTCCTCAGGTCGCGGASCTGGCACCCACCAACTCCTCCCTTAGGGCACAGTTCCCTTCCTCCTCTGCCACGGAACCGCTGGGTGAGGTTCAGTCCCAAGAGCTGCACCTGAAGGCCACGTTCCTTTGAGCTCTGGAAGGTCACAGCTGGGCTGTCTTCACAGGGCACACCTGAAATCTCTTCTCTTCAGGCCTCCCGAGCTCAGGATTTGTTGTCCGGGCAAGAGGCTCAGTGCAGACCTACCCCTGTCAGGAGAGTCGCAACGCAAAAATCACTAATAGTTTTCTAACATCCAGCTATTGCTTCATTAAAAAAGCTCATTAGGGGAGTAATAACACTATCTCCCTAGCAGGGACCAAGTAATGTTCAGTAAATACAGCCCGAGGGCTTCATGCAAGGAACAATAAGGTGGTAACAAAACACTGCAGAGCTTTCTGGTACCTGCATCGTGTCTGTCCTTTCATGGGATGAACCAGGACCTTCTAGAAAACAGCTTGGTTGGGCAGTCAATATTAAAACCCACACAGCTAAAAAAATATAAAGTTATTCTGTATAAACACATATAGAAAAAAAAATATATATGTGTATACTTACTCTGTATAAACACCTGARCAGAGGGTGTAGAGAAAGCAGAGCCAGACGATCGCCAGTGACAGGACAAGGGGCAACAGACACAAACCAAATTACAAGAAACTCTTGTTTAAAGAAAAAAAGCAACAATTTTCTACTATAAGGGAGCTTGAACACTGCAACAGATTGCCCAAGAAGTCATGAAGTCATCCAGTCTTGTAGATTATTCGGAGCCCAATCAAGTCCTGAGCAATCTGTCCTAACTGACCCAGCTTGGAGAAGACTGGGACTCAAGGAACACCAGAGAGCCCATCCAACCTCCAGTGTTTTGTAATTTTAATGTATTTTATTCCATAGTTTTGGAGTGGTTGTAGAAGGTGATAAATAGTTAGGTTTTCCCCCCATCACAGATTTAAGAAGTCAGCCGAAGGTAGATGCCCTGCAGAGAAAAGTCAGCTCAAGTTCAGCAAAGTCGCAAGCAACTGGAGAACAAACCTTATAATGCAGAACGTTGAGCAGCCCTAACAGGTACTTCTGACCCACTGCAAGTGAAGTCTTTTTCCTGTTTTGTCATCTGCAAACTGTAAGGCTCTTAAATGTTTGGAGATACTATCTGCTATATCAACAGAAACACAAGTTTTGACAGGAGACGTGAAGCAACCGGTTTTTCGATCCCGTTTCAAAATATATTAATTGAGAAGCGAGATGAATATCAGGACAGAGCAAAGGTTCACCCTGCTTTCACCAGCGGCCAAGCAGGGATGTCGTGTGATCCCGTCCCCAGCTTTGCCAGGCYGGAGCTCAGGACACCAGGTTTGCCAAGGGAAGGGATCTTCCACATCAACCAGCACCGAGCCCGAGATCCCTTGGGAGATGAGGGCCAGGAGACTTGCTGCTATCCACAGCATATTAAGAGCCTCTTCTTCCCCCTCCTTCTTCCACAGGGTCAAGAGGAAAGGACAGTGGTAGCAACAGGGCCTGGACAGTGGCATTTTCCGAGCACTAATAGTGAGACATCATCAGTTTCCAGAGCAACAGACTTCAGACGTGGCTTTCCAAGAGCCCCTTGCACTAGGGTCCATCACCCTGGCTTCTTCCCAAGATAACGGACCCTTCTCCCTTGCTCTTTGCGAGCATTACACTTTCATCTGAACCTCACAGGCTCCACTGGCAGGGTTTTTAAAGCACCCCTTTGCTTTGACTTTGAGATCCTCACAGCTCTTTTAGAAGGTATCAGCCAACACAGGCGCTGAAGGAGGCCACGGAGGGCTGCAGATAGGCAGAGGCTGCAACACACAGCATGGACAACAGGGATTGAAGGACTGGGCACAAGGAGGTGCTAAAACCAGGGGTACCTCAGAGCTGGCTCTGGGACACCCACATAAGAATAAAGCTTTCGTAGTGGTCTTAGGGTAAAAGTGAACAAAGCTGGGTAATTTCAGCGGGAATGGGAGGCAAGATTACAAGRCTGCATTGGAGAGGTGGTCCACAACATTCCTTTAATACTAAAGGACACCAGAACCATAAGTTTGCTTCTGTTARCCTTAAAGACTAAGTGTTTCTAGAGCCAGAACGATGGGCATCTTTCCCCTAACCCCTATGTATTTGCCTTTCAAATRTGAGGTTTCAAAAAAGAAGGAAAGAAAATAGATCTTGGGGAACAGTCAAGCTGCTCCACAAGGCAATGGAAACCAGGAGCCAAAAGCCCAGCACATGCAGAGCCCTCCCCAGGTGGGAAGCAGCTCCACAACACCAGGCAGAGCCAGTTTGTGGCCCACAAACRGTCCCAGAGAGAATGAAGAGGTAAAACAGCTCCAGGGCTGGTCCAAAGAGTCCCAACAGAGCAAGATCAGAAAAGGCACAAACAGGACTGGAAACAAGCTACAAACTTAGGACCAACAAGACYATCCAGAAGACTACCTACCTTCAGGACAGGTCCAAGATCCACCCAGAAGACAGAGGCAGGCTGGAGAGAGGACACCTAAAACAGAGCTTAAATGGAGCTCATGCAGCTGTGGGTGGAGAGCCCAGGTGAGGGCTATTAAGGCCTATTAGGGCACTTAGGGCCCTGACCACAGCAGCAATAGTAGAAATGCCTCAAACATCTACAAAATGCAAGGGGGTAGATCCAAGCCTTGTGAGACTGGGACAGCTGAGAACCAAAGGAAGGAGAATCCAGTGGGTGCAGCCAGATGGTCAACAGGGATCCCAGAGTCTTGGTGCAGGCTCAGGGATGTATCCAATGGTTTTGTCATCTCTCCCCCACCTCTCACCACAGGGTGATTCCAATGTCTTCCAGCATAAACCCAGCTTCAGTCTGCCCTGTTTTATCTCAAATCACAGCAYGCATTTGCCATGGCTCTACCACTGCTCACCGAGAAGGAGAATTTCTCCTGAACTTCCTTCTTTTCCCATTTTGCTGCTTTCTTCTCTCCTGCTCCCCCTTACAAGCAGACACAGGAGCTCCTGCTTGGCAGGCTCGCTGCAGAACATCTCATACGTCTGGATGGGGAGCAGAGGGCTGCTTAATGCTGACTGCTGTACCGTGCAGGATATAGCCCAGCAATTGTCCCGGGGAACCAAACATCCCTGCCTGTCTGGGCWGGAGCCTGGGCAAGGACTTTGCACCGCTTGGATTGGGAATATTCTCCAAATGCACTGGAGTGTTTGCTACTAAAATGGGGAGAGGGCAGCTGGTGGGAAGATGGGGGTTAAAAGGAGATCTGGGGGGRAAAGGTTATAGCACTTATAGCTCTTGCTGAGAGCAGGGCCATCGTGTAGGACATACCGTGAGTCCCGCTGCCCAGCCTGGAGTGTCCCCACTCACCTCTGGAAACATTGCATGCCAAGGAGAGAGGCAATCACGGAGAGAAGCCTCTATTGAAAATATAATTAGATGCTGAAGGTGGATATGGATGTTTGAGATACGGAATCATCTGGGGACAAAGCTCCGTCGCTAAGCCTGGTGCTTTTGTTCTGCCCGGGACGGAGTCGGGGCTGGAATCCTGCAGCTGGGGGCAAATGAAGGATTTCCTACCTTTGTTCAGTGCAAACACAGGGGCTACTTTGCTGGGCTTCAGATCTGCCTTTTGCTGCATCCCGCTGCTAGACGTGACCAGGCTGCTCCCACTGCCCTCAGAGACGTCGTATTCCTTGGCTTTGCGCAGGAAGCGTTAAAAAAGAAGGGATTGAACTGGTCCCAAAGGATGGCTCTCCCATGGGCTGGTGGCATTACCCCCAAAATGAGACCTTGTGCCCTGACACCAACTCAGAGGCCAACACGTGGGCCTGGGTACCAGACACTGCCCTTTGCACAGGCTCGAGCAGAGGCTGCTCTGGTCTCACACCTGATCTCTGGTCTCCATTGCTACTAGAACCACTCTGCTTTGAGGACTGGGGTCAGTGCCTGGTGCAAGATCCCCTTTAGCTTCATCACCTTAGCCCTGCCTGCTCCTCAGCCTCCTTGGAGAGGCTAAAAACCACGGCATCTCACAGCCCGGACGGGCGTGCAGGGCTGGACACAGCCACTCGTGCACTAAGAGCACAGGCTCTCATTTGGGCGAGGAAGAGATTGCAGGATCAGGCTCCGGGGACCCGCAGGAGGTGCTAATACCAAATTACTGCATGTCATTGTCAGGCTGTGCCTGGAGAGATCTGTGGCTCCAACACGCGGGCTTGGAGTGGGTCCCAGCTACAGCCTCCAGGCTGCCAAGCTCTGCAGCCAGGAATGCTTAGCTCTCACCTGGAATATGCTGTATATTTAGAAACTCTTGTGGGTTTTTTTTTTCACAGTTTTTAATTACATTCAGCTTTTCTGCTCTTCCTCCCGGTGGTCGGGCGCATGGGTTTTTAAAAAGATGCCACCCAGCAGCATGTGGGCCCGGTGGCTGCCTGCGAGCCGGGTCCCATCTGGCTGTAATTACCAGCTTCGCATCAGCAGAAGAGCGTAATATTTAAACACAAATGTTTGGTGTTTGCACAGCAAACCTCGGGATGGAAAGCTCTTGATAAGCAGCGTGCAGCCGCGGGGCTGGGCACGCTGCAGACGAGCACTGAGGGTGCTGGAGGATGCAGGATGGAGGTATCAAAGCTGCAGAGACAAGGACCAGGAGCYGGTCCGGGAACCCTGGAGGCCTTTTTGGGCAGAGCTCCACAGGGTGCTGAGATCCTCACTTCTTGTTCTGGAGCTGAGGCATGAGGGGATGCAGGCTAARTGCCAGACCCTGCCTGGGTGTCGTGCAGAATTAGGTGGGCTCATTGGATGGGTGCAAACCTCCTGTGGAACTTGTCCTAGGGCACATCCCGCTGCAGATACAGCTGAGCTCCCCCTCTAGCCCTTCTCTTGCTCATGCAGGGAAGATACRGATTTCCAGATGGAAATGCCCTGTCATGTGCAGGTAGAGTTGGGGCTCTGAAGGTTCTTGGGAAACCGTCTGAGGAAGAGGAACCCAAGGACTCCACTCATCCTCAGGAGAGCTCCCTGGGAGGACCAAGCTGGTGACTGTCACCTCCCTGTCCTGGAGCTACCAGCGCAGTGCCACCTCCTCCAGGACAAGCAGCATCTTCCCTCACCTTCCTGGCGTGGAACAACAAGGCATGCAACGGGAGGGCTTTCATTCCTGGTGCCATCGTGTGGCTGGCGCCTGTCTCTCTAGGAGCTCACCTCAACCT